GTATATAAGTTGGGGCAACACTTACTTTACAAGTTGATTTGTGTGGTTGAGTGTTAGGCTTATAATCTACAATCTTAGAATTTAAAAGGTTATGTATCACATGTTGGAGGCATGGAAACAAATGCTTCGAATGAATTCATTGTGAGCATTTGAAAGTTGAAGAATTATTGATAGAATTTATAGTAATTTCTTTAATTTTTTTTCATAAAAAATATTCCTGCAGAATTTCTTGCAAAAAAATTCGCAGAAAACTTTCCTGCAAATTTTCTTGTGATTTTTTTTGCAGGAAACTTTCCTGTAAATTTTTTTTTGCAAGAAACTTTCCTGCGATTTTTTTTGCAAGAAATTTCGCAGGAAAATTTCCTGCAAATTTTAAAATTCGCAAAAATATATTATCTACGAAGGTATTACATGTAGATAAAATTTCGCAGAAAAATTTGTAGCAACAACGTTTTCTGCGAATTTTTATGAAAAATTTGCAAGAAAAGTTGAATGTAATAAGAGAAATTCTGGTAGTGTTTCTTGCAAATTTTAAAATTCGCAAAAATATATTATCCACAAAGGTATTACGTGCAGATAAAATTTTGCAAAAAAAAATTGTAGGAACAACGTTTCTTGCGAATTTTTCATAAAAATTTGTAGGAAAAGTCTCATGTAATAAGAGAAATTCTAGTAGAGCTTGTGGGAGTTGTTGTTGATGGTGAGGTGTACATGAATTGTTCATGGTGCGTATGAAATGGTGGATTCATTGAAAAAGATTGGGGATGTTGTTCCATACTATAAGGTGGGTGGTTATCTCCAGCCACTGGGGTTTGTGATGATGTTGGAAAATATTGTTGAAATCTTATAGTTGTTGGGAGTTGTGTACTAGAAGTGGATGCACCAGATGAAGAATATTGGTTACAAAGAAATAATTTTGAATTAGCACGAAATCATTGCAAATACTCAGGAGTGTGTTGGAGAGGCCCTTAAAGTGGTTGCCCAAAAACAACATGTTTGCGTTTTTCTTTCCTAATAGAAATTCATTCTGCATGTTGTTCAGCCCAATTGGTGTCGCTATGTCCTCTCATGTCTATTTCGTGCATTTTATCAAGATTATGGGCTTCATTAGGGATTGGTTGCCACAAGCCAAATTGCAATTGGACTCTATCACTTTGATGCCAGACTACAACTACAAATGAAGTTAAAGCAATACAAGAAGTCCAAATTCTGGAATCCTTGTAACCACGTGTTTGCAATGAAGACTCAAATCCCCTATATGACATCCACAAAAACTGAAAAAAGAAAAAGGTTTAGGGTATAAATTAATTGAATAAAAGAGAGTATGTTTGAGAGAAGTTGACATCGTATTATTACCTCATTATGATTCATGTTGTCATATCTTAATTTGTAGCCAAGTAAGTCTCCATGGGGCATGCCTGTAAATCTTAGCCCTCTTCCTAACCATCTAAAAATTTGTACATTGATAAAATTTTAGTTAGAATATAGTTGTTCGATGTATTAAAGTGGTATATAAGTTAATTCATACCTCAATGCAAGCGGATATGTAATATCTTGTTGGACTCTTGGTTGGATGAAGGGCATGTGATACCAAGCCCAAGATTGCAGAAGCAAAGAACATCCACCCATTTTCTTTGATGATGGATAAATCACCCCTCACATTTCTCTGTACAAAATTGTCAAACAAGTAGAACCCCAACTATATCGTCATAGACGTTCCAAGTCAGCCAACAGTGGTAAATACATTACGTGAAGTCTATTTCCTGACTTGTCTAGCATAATTACACCACCAATCAACCCTAAGATATATACCCTACAATGTTGGTGCAATTTTTGTTCAGTGGGTTCATCTGGTAGTGCAATTGTATGGTCTCTTAACCATTTTAGTTTTATGGTTGAGCCAATTAGAGCTTCCCCTTTTGGTGGTACGAAGCCTAACAACTCATAACACAATTCTTCCCAGTCAAAGAAATTTGGTACAGTGACTGCTTTGTCGTCATTCCTCAAACCTAGTTGTAGTGCCACATCTTCCAAAGTGATCGTGCACTCACCAACTAGGAGGTGAAAAGTATGTGTCTCAGGTCTCCACCTCTCCACCAAAGATGTTATCAAACAATCATCGATTTTATAATGTCTGATTTTGGCAACCTCACCAAAGCTAGCAACCTCCAACAAATGTTCAATTCTTGGGACAATTGTAGGCATGGAATGATAGTAAGATTGAATTACTTGACCACTTTTTGTCTGCGAATATGGTAGAATTGAAATGTTATTAATGAATAACATTACTTGTAAACATTATGCAATATATATTAACTTACCATAAGATGAGTTTCATTTGACCTATGGAGGTGGTTTCCACAACATAGTTGAAGATGAAGAAGACATTCTTAAAGAACAATAGCAACAAAATTGAAGAATGCAATAGCTAAATAGAATTGATCTTTTGTTGTGAGTTTAAGGTTAGAACATATGTAGTGTATATATAGTGCAAAGCATTTGAGACAATTAATATTATTGTAATGAATTAGTTTGTTTCACTACAACAAAAAGTTAATGCTTTATGCAGAGTGCCATTGTCTTTGTCCCAAAGCGTCAAGAATCCAAAGACTTTGTCCCAAAGCATTAGAAATTTAATGCTTTACACAGTGTGTCATTGCCTTGGTCCTAGAGCATCAAGAATCCAATGACTTTGTGCAGAGTGTCATTAATTTCTTTGTCCTAGAGCGTCAGAAATTGAATGCTTTACACAGGGTGTCATTGCCTTGGTCCCAAAGCGTCATGAATCCAATGACTTTGTGTAGAGTGTCATCAATTGTTTTTCTCTAGAGCGTCAGAAATTTAATGTTTTACGCAGGGTGTCATTGCCTTGGTCCTAGAGTGTCAGGAATCAAATGACTTTATGTTTGTCCACATTAGCTTGCAAGCATGTTGCTTTAGTTCTATATAATGTTCTGTAACAAAGGCTAAAATGCATCAGATTGAAACATCCAATCAATGGAGTCATTAACTGTTCCAACATGGACAAATTGTCTTGATTGAGTATGGAGATACGTTTGTTAACAACATGGTTAGAACCCTACTAGTACGCAACAAGATGACTTATGAGCAACTTAAGCAGGTTATTAATAATAAGTTAATTTTCTTCATTACAAAGTTGTCATAGACATTCACTACCGATACCCAATTTCATGTATCGGTGGTGTATATAAATATATAACATGTCGTTTTAGGGATGATGAAGATGTGGAGTGTATATTTTCATTGTTCATAGAACTGCATGACCTAACAAGTCTCGAATTATATGTTACGACAACATATATTGGATTATTGCATGGGATGGAAGCAATTCAAAGATACCTTGACCAAACAATGATGTTGACACCTAATATTATATGGTTTAGGATTTATGTTATTCATTTACTTTCTATCCATTTTCAAAACACCTATGACTCACCATATCTAAATGACGATCATTTATCATATGCATCCTTTACCAACCTCCTTACATTCAGTTGATTTTGTTGTGCGTCTTTCAAAAATATCATGTTCTATAATTTTAATTTGTCTTTTCATTTCAATGATTTTGTATTTTTTTTACCATTTGAAATATTTAATAAAATAATATTATTATTTATTTAATAATAAATTTAATTATCTATAATTATTAATACAAAATCAATATATTAAATAAAGTATACATATTTACAAATATAAAAAATTAATTGTTAAATTACATTATTTAATTTTCTATATTTTATAAGTTTAATTTAAATAATAAAATCAATTTAAAAAAATTTAAATATAAGTATAATATTGAATTATGAAATTTAAAAGTAAGTATAATATTAATTTCATTATTAAATATTATTCTTTAAAAAATATAATTTAAATATTAAATATATTTTTCATATTCTGAAAATTAAAATAAATTAAAATTATTTTTAATTTTTTAAAAACTGAAGAAAAAAAATTAGGGCATGAGAAATTAATTACTGAATAACCGATTTCTCAATAAAATTTTAAAAAAAAAATTTAAAATCTTATTGAGAAATCAATTAACCTATAATCAATTTTTCACAAAATAAGTTATTTGAGTAAATAAAAATGGATCTAGATTATTTAAATAAATAAAAAATAATATATTTAAAAAAAGTTGAATAAGTGAAGAAATAAAGCAGTTAAAATATATTAACACATTCACAAACGAAGTGATGAATCTTTGCTATATAAAGCGGTCATGTAAAAAAATTCAAACATCTTAAGGAATGCAATGCATAGAAAACTTTCACACTTTAAAGTTATTTAGTTAGGTTCATTTAATTGAATTCCTAATATAATATTTAAATGACATAAATGCATAATGTTATCTGTCAAAAGAAATAAATGTATAATGTAATATTTATATGGTTTGTGATATTAAAAATGACATCATTACTTAATTACCTAATATAACAAAAAAAATTAAAGTAAAATAAATAATAAAAATTTAGTTAAAGCTCCAACTTCAGTATTTCGTACATCTTACGGGACCTACCTTAAAAGCCTGCCAGCCCACGTGATATGGCAGAAAAGAAAGAAAATGAGTGTACGTGTATTGATGAGTCCTAAATTGTTAAAAAAAAAAAACGTGAAGTAGCAAATTTGGACACAAAAAAGCTGAAGACCGACACCGTGTTTTGTTCAAAAGATAATCTAAAAGCATCAAAGGTAACAACGTTGCAAGCACTTGTCAATAATTCATTGAAACGAGTAGTCACCTTTTTCTGGACCATTCGTTTTTGTCTAAAGCATCATGATTGATGATATAAACATTGAAAAAGAGATATTCTTTTTTTTTATATTAAAAGTTATTAAAATTATTATCATAACCTTAATGCAAACGATGTGCTAATGCAAGGTAAAAAAGATGGATTTGTTAACTGATTTTATTTATTTTATTAATTAATTAATTAATATTGCCTCATTCTTATCATGCTTATTTTATTGCTCTATTTAAGACAAACCAGCTCCATTTCCATTTTGCTACCAACCGCAGCTTGTTCAGTCTTTCTTGAAGCTTTGTTACTCCCATTCATGGCTCGCTCTGTGCCTTTGGTTTCAACCATTTTTGTCTTGCTACTGCTTCTGGTGGCCACTGGTAGGCCTTTTCTTCACGCTTTATTTTCAATACCAACATTTTTTGGTTTCTGATCTTAGTTAAAAAGCTCTTATAGCTACTCTTCTAGCACACCTTTAACAAGATGTTCATCATTTTCTATGGAGTAATATGACATATTTCTACCTTAAAAAAAAGACAAAAGATCTTAGTTCATACACACTTATGTGTAATATATTTATTTATCTTGATCTAGGTTATAGCGTGGTTTCCTTTGTACCACCAAAGTGTTATTTATATTTATACTTATAACGTTTAGATTGACTACATATATAAACATTTCAAAATTGTATAATCTTGTTGTTAATTAAGACACTTTTACGATATAGAAATTTACAAGTTTAAATATGATGAAGCCTTTGAAAGAGTTAAGGTGGGTAACTTGGATCATGTTAATTTATGTTAAAACTTGGTTAGATAATTTCTCTTCTTTTATTTTTTTTTCTTCTCATTCAAGTGATTGTTTGAAAGGTTTTTGGTGCATACATGAACATGGTACATGTGTTGTTTTGCAGAGATGGGGCCAACAATGATGGCAGAAGCAAGAACCTGTGAGTCTCAGAGCCACCGTTTCAAGGGACCATGTGTGAGTGACACCAACTGTGGTTCCGTTTGTCGAACGGAACGTTTCACTGGAGGACATTGCCGTGGCTTCCGTCGCAGATGCTTCTGCACCAAACACTGTTAAAAGAATTATGAGTGCTTTGGGAATATTTTCAATGGAAGATGATGGATCTATCATCTTTCTACTCGTGTTGTCAACCACCTTGTGTTTGAGAATAAGGTTACCCATTATGTGGGTCTCTTTGCTTGTCCCTTATTTTATGTAGTTTGTTCGTTTTATGATTCGAGGGAGTGTGTGAATGTGAAGCAATGTAATCCGTGTTCTTAATTTAGTACTGTGTTAGTAACTTTTATTTCTGTCATATTTTGGTTTGTTTGATTGTTTGGGAAATAATATTTATTGGAAGAAATAGTACATGTATTTGATGGCATGCATATCAAGATTCTACAATGATATTGGGAAGAAAAGATCATCAAGAAAAATCAACGTTAATATATGCACTATGATACTGTGCAAATACTTTATATAGAAACCTCTTAATTTTCTTTTATTTCTTTTCTTGTCATATTATATCAAATTATATTATGTATTAAATTTTTACGTCTTATTTAACCTAGATTGGATCTGAAATCGAATTTTACTGTTTATGTGAAAATTTAGAATTTGGAGTATGTTATAAATGATAAAAATTTAATTTTTATATTAATTCTTTCGAGTAATGATTTCTATATATTTTAATATTTAAAATAATACTTGCTATTTTTTATTATCCACTCTTTCTTATTACATCAATTTTATGTTATTTAAATACATTTCTTTTTCTTTTATCTCTTTCATGTTTCAGTCAAATCAATTTTTCTTTCTCTTTCACTCTTTCGGTACGTTTTGCTGTGCAGAAACAACAAAGAAATTGAGTGAGAGCAAATCGGTAAGAAAAAGAAAAAAAGTAGGATTGTTTGGTTTTAAGAAAATAAATAATATAAAAATACAAAGTTGTGAGAATATGCACAGAAAACCAGTGACGGCTTTTAGTTAATTCTTCCTTTGGAATCCAAGGCTACACTTTTGTTTCTTTCTTATAGCAGAAGGTGAAATAGTGAGAAAAATAATCAGAAAAAAAGGACATAAAAAGAATATTGATTGAAGTAATCTTTTAGTGAGTTTTTCAATTGTTTAGATTGACAGAAATAATATAGTGGTTTATTTCCATATATTTGATTATATGAAATAATAGAGAAAAAGAAATGAAAAATATTTTAAAAATACCATGTTACGTATATAATTAAATTTAATTTTATATCAAATGAAACTTTAAATTATAATTTAATGATAATGTCAAGTCAAAAACGATTATGAATTTTTTGAATTTGGAGTTTTAATATTAAAAAAATTTAAAAAAAACAAATGTCCTAAAAATATCTTTAAAAAAAATTGAAAGATCATTTTAGAACTCACAAATTTATTTAAAGAAAACATGATCATATTTTTTCGCCAACACTAAGGATAAAGATCTCTAAAATCATAGAGAAAAATAGATAAAATCATTATTGTTACACTGTGTTGATATTACCTCTACAAGTTCTATTTCACATGATAAGTAATTTTTTCGATCACATAAAAGATACCATTTGGTGAAATATAATTAATGCTCGCATTAAAATGGTTATCTGTCATCACAAGAAAAGACATGAAGATAGATAAAATAAAATTGTGAGTTGTACTTAAAGTGTTACAATGATCATCTTCTATAAACTAAGAAGATTCAAAGCTTGAGAAAGATATACATATATAAAAAAAGGTTCATTGTTAAAAGAATATTTAGATAGTTATTTAAAATGACAAGTTAAAGAATACTTAAAATTGAGTCAAAAATGATATGTTGAAAGAATATTTGTATCTTTGTTTAAAAATAGAAGAACTCAATCTTATTAGATTGAGAACTTGATGTAATCTTGGTGGTTGAGACGAACCGATAGAAAAATACTCATTTCCATGTAATTGTTCTTTATACTCAATCTAACAAGAATTATTACTTCATTACAAAAATCATGAAATTTTTTTATATATACTATTTACCTTCTTTATAGTATTTATCTTTTTTCCACAAATAAGATAAGATATTAAATATTTAATTATTTTATATATTTAATTATGTTTAATTAAAATGTCTTAAAATAACTTTAAAGTTAGTTTTTTAACAAAATTATTTTAATATGTACCATATCCTGCTCAACACTTTGTCCATTTTAAAGAAAAAAATAAATGAAAAACAGAAATATACATTATGAGGATCTAGCATTTTTCATATGTATATCAAAGTTAAAACGAGATGGTGTAACAAAAATAATATTGTACAAAAATAACCAAAGGATAAGGGGAGACAATAATGTATCATGCACAACTGTCGGCAAGTTGATTTTCATTCAAAATAGCATGGGACTCCCATTTTTATTACTTTTCTTCATCAACAAAGCAAATATTAATCGTTTCCTTAAGGCTTTGTTTGGTTTAGAAAAGAAAAAAAAACCCCGGTAAGAACAGGGCCAAAGTCCATCACGTTGATATAATATATATTTTTAATTTAAATATATTAATTTATACGCTTTCAATAATTTAAAATTAGTTATTCTATTATATTATTTTGTCAATTTATTTTGAGAGCTTAAATTTAAAATATAATAAAAAATTTATTAAAATTTATAACTATAATATAATATGAATATTCTTTTAAAAAAATAATAAAAAAGAGAATCATGCGGCTCAAACATTAATTAAAACTATGGAATAATTATCCGTGATATTTGTTCTAACACTCAGCCTAATTATAGGTTTATAGAATAATTATTTAGTAAAAAAATTAAGAAATTGGGGATAAGAAGTTAAGAACAAGCAGAAAAAAGTTTGAAAGATTTTTGTCATGTCTGTAACTAATCCACCAAAGCCACTTTCTCTGTTACATTGTCCCGGATTACGTCATCCTTTCGCTTCCATGTCTACCAACTGGCTTAGAATGAGATTGAGACGGATCATGTATTTTTGGCTTATTCATTTAACTGTATGAGGTGCACTTCTAATTTAAGAGGACCTCCAATGAGGTGCTTGTTGCTTAAGAATAAGTAATGGTCATTATAAGAAAATTTTATATTGGAGTGATCTTACATAATAACTTAATTTCTTAAATATTTTTTTCTCTTGTTTGTAGAAGGAACAGTGCTTAGTACCGAGAAATTTGAAAAAGAGAAGTTTGATTGGTTGATTTGGATCCAGGGAAAATATGGACAGAGGTTTTGAAAATAAAAAAATAGATAAAACTTCTTTCACCTAGTTCTTCCTCCGTTGAGCATGTGTGTTGTCGCTGCTGGACGTCAGGGGGAGGGTTGTCGACGCCGGCCGCTCGTCGCTGGCTGCCAGTCGCTGGTCACCGGTCGCGTGTCGTCAGCGACGCGTTTCCGACCGTGCTAAGTGTACCGACCCGCCATGGTCGTCACACTACGAATAACACTACACACTACTAAAATATATATACTAAAATAGTATAATAAAATATTTACAACACAAGTTACTAATCACGCAACCAACTACAATCAATTATATACAACAAAAATATGCTACTATAAGATAGTCTACAAAAAAAAATTCCATCTCCAGGCACCTCCTGTGACCTTTATCAGCTATCTCCAGTCTATCCCTGCCCTGCTCTCATACAACGTATGATCATCGCAGTCCAAACCACATGGAAACATGCAAGGGTAAGCTAGAGACAATAAACAACTTATAATAATTTAATATGTAACATAACAACTATATAATCATCTTCGCATTCGACACACGAGACAAACAACATATATATTATACTTCTTAACATCGTTTCAACTTACAACATAACAACACTATCATCATCCTCAACAAAGTCAACATACAACACAATCACAACTTAAAAACACAACAACAAATATACAACTCATATCAACAACAAATCAACTCAACAACAACTTATGCTTCGTCACGCATTTCAACTCGAAGATCTCCAACAACTGAGGTTGAGCAGTCCAGGTATAGATAATAATAGATGATTTCTCATGTGTGCCACTTAGACTCGGAGGCCTAGTACTACTGTCAGGACCAGTGATTTAAAAACTGGACCGAACCGGCCGGTCGGACCGGTTGGACTAGGAACTGGTGGTCCAGCCGGTCTGAATCTTAAGTTGGATCGGTTATGCAGTCGACTCGTTTGAAACCGGACTGAACCGGTCAATTTTTCGGTTCAACCGACGAACCGGTTCAACTTCATATCTTTTTGCCTGTTTAAATTCAACACTTGTTTGGAATAAAAAATTGTACATAAACCTTTGCACACAATAGTTCCCCCTACACCCGGGGGCATGAGAGTATTAAACATAGGGAGTGGTTGACGTATGATTGACCCAAGTTTGGCCTTGGAGCCTGCGAGCCTTGTCGAAAATAACACTCAAGGTGATAACTGGTTACTCTAGCCCGAAATACTACGACAGACCTTAGAGTTTTCCAAGTGACAGTGACAGAGATATTGGGTCCCTATAATGGGGGCACCTTGGGGGCCTTAAGACCAGTGAGATTAGAACTGTCCTATACAATGCACTTTTCTTGCAGGGACCACAAACCAAGAATTTAAACGTGATTGTTCGCGGGTGTACATTTGTTTGAGCATATGTGTATTGCATTTGTTTGTGTTTATTTATTTCTAATTGATAAGAATTACAAACAAATAAATATTAATAAAAAAATATGATAAAAATTTTAACTCCCTTCTATATACCCAAACCTCAAAGCATCATATAGGATAGTTTATTTAAAAAAAAAAACAAATAAATATATAGCAAAAATCATGCATCATTCCCCTTTAGTAAAAAAAATAAAATTTAGGCAGAAAACAAATATCATGCATCTTTTAGTTTAGCATATACATTCATTAGAACATGGAAGACACATAGTATGTAAAGATTTTTGAGAAAGGAGAACATTCAAAAGTACAAGAATCGTGTGCACATACTAAGGACTAGCCTAGAACGGGCCGTTTTGAATCTGGAACGGGTCGTTCTGGCCCCCTTCTGATGCCTATAAATAGAAGACTCGGGCATAGTTCTCGAGGTGACCAAATTTCGTCCAAAACTCCTTAGAGTTTGAAATTTCTCTCTTTCTCCCTCTTATTGTATTTCTTGAGTTTTGTGAGGCACATTGTAGTGTGAAAGGTTGCTACAAAGCACCTAAAATCTTCCTATTTTGAAGATTCAATAGAAGCTCGTTCAAGAGGTATTTCAATCAATCTTTTTCTATATCTTTTATTTCTCATCTTTATCTTTATCTTTTATTTATAACAAATGCAATCATGTAAATATTTTAGGGTTAGTCGTATAATTTAAATTTTAAATATGTAAATAAATATTAATAAAGGGAA